AATTTCCCTCATGGATTTTTTGGGTATTGTGGTAAGTTTTAAATATGTTAGAAAGAAAGTAGAGTCCAGAATGTGTTTGTAAAAATGTAAGCCAGGAGCAGAAAGAGGAAGGAGGAGATGAGCTAATTATTCCAGTCACTTGGTGAAAATGAAACTAGAGTTTTTGAGATTTTTTTTCTTTTAATATCATTCCTGTTGAATAAAGCTTGATATTGAAGTCCCAGGCCTTCTTAAAAGGACAGTGGCAATTCCTTGGCAAGAAGCTCGGGATGTTGCTTTCCCTGTGGCGGGATGCTGTGGGACCAGCTTGTGGCTGCAACAGGATTCCCTCGTTTTCCCAACACAGACACTTTGTTGCTTGTAACATTTTTTTAAAAAATAATTTATTTTTATTTTTAGCAGCTATTTCAGCTGCTACTAAAATGGAAGCTTTTAATTTCAAGTTTGTAACACTTAGAAAAGCTGCAAACAGAGGCAGGACAACAAAACCAATTTATCTGTAAAGGGGAAAAATCACGTGTTTTGCAGGCTGGCATTGTGGTTGTTCTTTAAGTAGGTGTTTTCGTTCTAGATATTTTTGTCTTGGATTTAAGTGCTATAAAAGGAAAAACGTAATTGCAGTTTCAAGGAAACTGTTTTCTGCCTTTACTTGCTGGCATCCTCAGTGTAATATGTTTTCACTGCATGAAAGTAAACCAAAAGCATTTTTAAGTGGTGGATAGGTAAGAGATCTGTAGTCCTTGTTTCTCCCAGAACTACAGCCTTACCTTGTGGGAGTGCACTGAACCTTTTTTTTAAAGTTTGCTTTTATTTTGAATGCTTAAACAAATACAGCCGTCTGAAAACAAGCCGTTTGTATAAGGCAACATTGAAACTTAAGGTATCCTTTGAGAAGCTCATAAGCATTTTGGCAGTGAAAAGTATCTTGTGAAGCATAGTAAATTTGCTTTTCATTGCACTGAGTTCAAGTGTTCAGAGTCCTGATAGTGTATCTGTGGCCTTTGTTGAAAGTGTTGACTGTTCATTCATGAATGATTAACAGGTTGTTTTATTGAAAGGCACGTATCTGCTTCCTACGGTGTCAGTATAAAAACTGTTCTGAAAAAGCTGCGAATCCAGGCCCTATTTGAAGAACGTTGTGTGTTCATCCTGGACGCTGTCCTGCCTGCATGAAACTCTCTTCCTTACCGGTTTGTAAGGATTTAGTGCTAGCAGACTTTTCTATGAGACTGAACTTAAATACAGCAGATTTCTAAAGTATTAAAAGAGAGAGAGCATTACTGCACTCAGGGAGAGGTCTTTATATTGATAGAATTGTCATAGTGCTTAATGGGCTGTACAATTTCCATTTGAGTTGTAGCATCATAGAAGTGTTTCTGTTTTCTAATTATTTTATCACTTTTTCTAGCTAGAGTGCTTCACTGTTAGCAGGAGAAAGCAGCATGAAAAAGTCTGAAATTCATATCAAATAGCAAATGAATGTTGAAATGTTTTGAGAATATGACATTTTTTGTGTGCGTGCATGGGCACGTTGAAGGACGTGTTCTTAGATTCTGATAGTGAGAAGACAAGGAGTCTCTCTGGGTAGACTTAATTCCATGTTTATGAGCATTTGGCATTTCTTAGTGCAAAAACGAAGCTCAGGGAGTGAAGTTCTAGCTGAAAGGCTTTGTGTGCATACAGAGCTGTTTAGTGTTCAGCATATGTTTAAGTTTCCTTTAACTGCTTATTTTTGGTTTTGAGAGAACTGCTGCAGAACTGATACAGTTATCTGAGTAATGCTTTATCTAATCGGATTTATATATTAGTAATGAATAATGGGCTTGGTAAATGAAAAGCATACAATCGATACGCTTTTTGGTTTCAAACTATGAAAGGTTTTTGCAGAATGCGGTCTTGAAGTTAGAACAGTCTTCTGAAACCAGTGAGGTGGTGCAGGGCCTGGGAGCTCTACAGGGACATCTAGCGGGACTTGTCTCTGCAGGACTCTCCTCAAGTCTGGGTGGGAGGGAGGGGCTGGTGCTTTGACCTTTGTGCCAACACCGATGTAAAAAGTACACTAAAATTTATTTCTGAAGCATTTGCGCTTTCTAAGAGCTGTTTTTCTTATCGATAAATGAGAAATTCTTCAGAAAATCACCCTTGATAAGGTTGGGTGCTGCTGAACTGAGCATTATTGTAGACACAGCAACATGCATGGCTCAAGGTATGAGGAAGTATTATTGTATGTTATGTGGTTACTTAAAATAGCTCCTGATAAGAAAGTTTTATCCCTCAAAGATGTACTTATGAGTTAAGCTGTGTGCTGTAGATAGATTGATGGCTGGTTTTTTTTGTTTTTTTTTTAATGCTTTGCTGCAAGCAATAACTTACAGGTGCCTTTCAAGAATCTTGCAATTTCCCATGAAAAAATTGTTGAAACTATTGGTTCTTGTAGCCTCCTGTCCAGACTCCTACTCTTTATTATATCTATGAAAGTAGCTGGAGGTTTGGTTGCCCAGACAGTTAGCTCACTTGTTGTTTCGGACATATGTTCTGTCTTTCCCATGTAAACCAGAAATTGCTATATTGAGTTTGGAAGTACTAGGTATTCAGAAGAAAACCACTCAATTAAACTTTCATATCATGTTACTGGTTTAGCTTAACTAGTGTGCTGCCCGAGTTCTGTGTCGGTATGTCAGCTGCGAGTGTTGGCTATAGCACGTACAGGGCCTGCAGTTTCATCTGGAGTTGGTCTGGTTACAATGCTGAAACCATTGGAAAACCTCAGTGTGAAACCTCTGAGCTTGTTCCCTTGTGTTGCTTGGGAAAACATTCAAAGAAACTTTATCAAACTTTCTGTGTCATAGGCTTTTTACTGGGAAAGCACTTTGATTAATACACAGAACTGTTCTTCTAATAAGAGCGCTTTGTCATCTTAATTAAAACAAAAAAACAACTGGCAAATGCAGGCCAGACAGCAAAGCCCGCTGGTTATCTGTGTGGAAGAGCGATTTTAGGAGGATGTGGGTGGCTGCCAGAGCAGCTGGGACACTTGGTGGTGCTGCTTCTGCCACTTGCTTGAAATAGCAGAAGGAGCGGCAGGTTTGGGCATTCCCTGGTGCAGGTGTGTGTTGTTGCTTCAGATGACAAGCCCCGGTTTAGTGGCAGGGCGATTTATGTGGGAAATGCAGCTGTGCAGGGGGATTGGGAACCAGGCAGAAACTGTGCTCTTGAATGAGGAGGCGTCAGGGTTACTGCCCCCGGGGAATCGAACTTCATCCCTGGAGACGGCAGAGTGATCCTAGTGACCGCCTTTATGGAGCAACTCCACCAGAGGTGAAAAAAAAACACCCAAACCAGGCAGGGACTTGGATAGCAGAAGAAGAGTATTTTACTGTTCATCAAATTTTGTAACAGCTTTTCCCTTTGAATTAGGTAGATGAGGATTTTAGTTGGGTTTGGCTCTCTGATTTTGCCAGTGCTGCAATTTCTCCCCCTGCTTGTGGTTTACCATAAACATACTGTACTTACTGTCTCTAGTAAGTTGTGTTTTCTCTTTTAAAGGCATACAAAGCAAGTCCATACCCGTTTTAATCTCATTAAGTTCCTCTCTAGCTGTTTCCCCTTTTGGTTGTGGGTATTGCCCATATTTGGCTCTGGCTATGGTGCAACCAGTTTGTATCTGATTGTGTGGTATGATATGCTGTCCTGCCTGAGCAAACCCCAATAATTTATGATTAGATGTGGCCTAGATTAGCAGCTTATGATTTTTATGTTTAAAAGTACTTTATGAAAGATCTTTTATGTAGTGCAATATGTTGGATTTTTGTTTTTCCGTGAAAGATGCAGTAAGAGGCACAAGGACTTGCCTGCAGCAAAGCTTCTGAACTAAAACCAAGCAGGAGGAAGGGCTGGTATAAATTATGTAGTTCTTTCCTTTAGACTGCCTAAATAATGTGTTCTAAAATACAGAGATGGCAATGCATTACCAGGAAAGTATTCAATTTGGTTTAATAACAAGCTGCTTTCATTCTCATAATCACAGCTCTCGTGAAAACACATGCTCTTCTATTCTTCATGGTGTGTTTTATGTACTTGTATACTTGAAAAATTGAACATCTGAAAGTGTATTTTTCTCCTAAGCACTTTAGTTGCTTACTTGAGAGCCCTCACGCTGTCAGTGAGTGCAGTGGGCTTTTAACTGTGCTTTCTGCTGGCCTTTGTGTTAGCAAACTATTTATTAATGAGGAATTGTCACTGGCATTTTATTTTGATGTGGATATTTTGTTATTCTACTTGTGTGCATGTGTATGAATGAAATTACGTGGATAAGAATATCCACTTAATTTCTAGAAGGGGAGTGTGGTAATCAGAAGATTCTGTGATATTGCCTAAAATAATTTTAAATAGGCATCTTTTTGGAAAGGCATACAGGTAAACCATCCAGGTGTTTTCCAGAGTTTCTTAATCACGACATTGGGTTTGTCTTTCCAGCTGAACTCCCTGTTTAGATCTTGCTGAGGAGATAAAAATGCAGGTTTACATTCACCATCATCTCTATTAACAGAGGAGAGGGAAAGGTTAGGCAAACATCTTTGCCCAACATGTGGCATCTCAGAAATGCTACATTTTGTCTTGGACAAGATCACATCACTTAAAAGTATCTGAGCAACACTCAAACTGCAAAGCTGAAGTTTTTCCGGCAGGGAAAGCATATAATTATTGTGATGATGATTCCAGTGTATTTCAAACCCACTGTAAGGTGTAATTATCAGCTGTCATCTGGAGAAATGCTGAAAATTTGTTTCAGTGTTAAATAAATATAGCTTGCGATATCTACCTTATAGTTAACAAACTAACGTTTTCATGCCCCAGGATGTTGTGGCTGTCCTTTGTGCTTTTGTACTTAACCACAAAGGAGTTTGTTGGTTTGTTTTACTACTGTAATATATTCTGATCTGTAAGGGAGCATTCTAGAATTAGTTTGCTCTTTAACAATACATTTCTTCTCTCGATAGCCAACTACTCCACCAAGCCAAGGGAGGCCTGATTCACCAGTTTATGCTAATTTACAAGAACTGAAAATATCTCAGTCTGCGCTTCCACCACTGCCTACAAGTGCTCCGGTCCAAATAAATGGGGAATGGGAAACCCATAAAGATACGACAGGACGCTGTTATTACTACAACAGAGGATCACAGGAACGAACCTGGAAACCTCCACGGTGGGCCCGAGATGCAAGCATTAATAAAGGGGATTCCCAGAGCCATGCAGATCATGAGGTAGTTCTTTCGAGATCGCAAGCAATGAGATTGTGATGTGCATGAATGCTCTTTTTGCTGTGAAATGTGGTATCGCTGAGTTTCAAGGTGTCAGGGAGTGTCTTTGTTTTATCTTTTTGGTCGTGTGTCTTGATAGGAAGTAGTAATTGAGCTCTTCAGGTGCCTTTGTTTTTGTGTACAAGAGTGTGTATGTGAACTGTGTACAAGAGGAGTAAGTTGTAAAAATGCCTTGCAGCCCCTCGGCAGGTATTGCGGCTTTTCTTTTAAAGGTAAAGGAAAATTAAGATATTTTGAAAGTAATAGCACTAAAAATGGCCATAGAATAAGACAGTCGTCGTAACTTCTCTGATACAGAGTGCGTTCTCTTTCCCGGTCTATTTGGCATGTTTGGGAAAGAAGGAGGAGTGTGAAAGTGCTGCTAGAGGCAAGATTTATGGGGATGAAAAAAGCAAGAATTTATTTTTTCCATACTTAGTTGTCCCAGCTTGAGCAATTCTGTATAAATCTCTTATTAAGTTTTTTTATTTTATGATGTTTTACAAGTGTTTAGTTTTTTAAAAAGAGGTATATGTGACTGTGGAATATGTAGAATAATCATAATGAACATGAAAAACACGTTCACATGGATAACTTGTTGCATCATTTAAGCATTTGCTTAGGAGGTGTAACTTTACACACTTCTTGATTTCTGCCTTGGTTAGCTGTAGAAATAACTAGGAGAAAAAGCAGTTGAAGGAACAGTATTTTTTTTATCACACTGTATTAACTTTGAAAACATTGTTTTCTTCCTTCTTTGAATGATATCCTAGAGAACAGGAGATGAGAAAATCAAAATTACTGTGCTAGAAGCTCTGCCTAGCTAAGTGTCTAGGTCCAAGGTAGCAAATGCTGGTGGGGGGGAGCAAGTCCACCCCAGCTTTTGGCAGTTAGCTGTAGCATTGACTAGATTACATGCAGGCCATAAACATATTCCTTAGATATGTTGTCGGATTACTCTTTTTCGTTATGCAAACCTTTCGCAAAACCTTTTGGCAAAGCTTTGCCGCAGACCTTGCTTAAAGGTGAAGCTTACCATGAAGTTCTTTAAAGGATAATTTGGACTAATACTTAAGGTGTGAGTATAATCTGTGCAGCCAGTCACTAGGGATAGCAAGAGAGTGATGTGTGTTTTATCTGAACTGCAGTAGTTCAGATAAAGCAAAGAAAGCAAAGAAATACTTGAGAGATGGATGTTACTATTTAAATATGCTTAAAATAGTGCTCTTGTGTTCAAGCAGCACTTACGTTAATCAGTCTTCTGACTGAAAGAAAAAGCAAACATTTATCAAGAATTCTTCTACATATTTCACTATACACCCCTTTCAAGTATGTATCATTTAGGCGGATTTCCTCCTGAGTCTATTGAAATGTGTAGTTTTAAAATTTAATTGCGGACTGCTCAAAAACTTTAAATTGCTGAAAGCCCAGTTGTAGAAGCCTACCTCTGGGATGGTAGTGCCAGAAACAGATGAGAAAGGAAAAAGGGACCCTTTTATTGCCTTTAGCAATGGCCTTCATGGCAGCTGTGAAGTCTGCGAGCATTTAGACAGCTGAAGAGTGAAAGACTGGGGATGTTGTCTACCTAGACTTTCCTAAAGCCTTTGACACCGTTTCCCAGAGCAGTCTCTTGAAGAAACTGGCTCTTTGCAGCTTGGACGGACGTACTTTTCATTAGGTAAGACAGGTGGGATGACTAATGTTTGTGGCTGTCACTTTAGTATTTCTGACACTGGTTTTTAATTTCTCATTGGCTGTCCTTTTGCTGGATAAGACTGTTTTTAGTCTGGATAAGGTGACTTCTTTTTTGAGTAGGAACTCTCCTTGCAGTAGGTAGAACGAGTTTTCTGTTGTGGTCATTCTTGCTTCTTTTCGTGGAAGTGCTTAAAGTGATTTTTATTTCCTCCCCATCTGCAAATGATTCCTCTTACTCTTACCCATACGTCTGTACCATGCCTTTACTGGATGGTTGCAGGTTCAGAAAGCTTAATTTTTAAAATTTTTTATTGCCCATAACTTGCTCAGCTGAAGTTCTTCTGTTTATTTGTGGTACTTGAGGTATCACAGCTGGGCCTTCAGACACTTCTATCCATCAAGTTTTCAGTCTTTTTAAGACCAGTGGATGATGTATGTTTTGATTAATTTTAGTTATACACAAGTCAATGTTTCTAGTAGCACAAGTTCCTTGGGTCCTCTCTGACTGGGTTATCAAAGTTTGAGTCTATGAGAGATGTGCTGCAATATTATATCAATCCATTTTCCAGCAGTTATGTGCTGATATTGAATCTGCTTTTGTTTGTTTGTTCTTTTCTGTTCTGCATTTGGGAGTGTACTTTACACTCCACTGTTCATGTTCACCTTTTCATTTATGACCTCTGGGGACTTAAGCTAAAATAGAGTAAGGGTTTGAGATCCGAGCCTAAGCTACAGTAAAATATAGGATATTCCAAATTTTGTCCAATTATGAAGAGTTAGGGCAAATCAGTGTTAATAATTAGTAAAATTAATTTATTATAATGAAATTAAGTTGGCTTTTACACACTAGCTTCAGTTATGCTTATTCCCTTTGGGTTTAGTAATAAAAGAGCATACACAGGGAGGGTAAGTGCTAGTTGTATCTCTGCTGATTTGTCCTCAGATGAACTTGTATTGTTTTAGATTGCAAAATGACAAGGTGATTTAAAAATGAGAACCCTGATTGTTCATATATTCTAATATGTGTGTACTATGTTAGAACATGAAATAACTTACAGTTGGTCTTAAAACTTTGTAATTAGAAAATTGAATTTTACTGGATAATTGAGAATGTGCAAAGTTGTACCTAATTTGTCAAAGAAGTTGCTAATAGGTATGGCACAAAGCAAACAGTAGTAGGTTATTGCTTGAATGTGGTGGAGGAAGCAGTGCAGTCCTATTGACAGACCCTCTTGGAAGGCATGTAAGATTTTGAAATTAAAGGTGAAATTTATCAGAGGTAGTGACTTGTCAATGGTGTGACCAGCAGGAGGAGGGAGGTGATCATGCCCCTGTACTCGGCACTCGTGAGACCTCACCTCGAGTACTGTGTCCAGTTTTGGTCACCACAGTACAAGAAGGACATCGAGGTGCTGGAGCGGGTGCAGAGAAGGGCAACAAGGCTTGTGAGAGGTCTGGAAAACATGCCCTATGAAGAGCAGCTGAGGGAACTGGGTTTGTTTAGTCTGGAGAAGAGGAGGCTGAGAGGAGACCTTATTGCCCTCTACAACTACCTAAAAGGAGGCTGTAGTGAGGCTGGTGCTGGTCTCTTCTCTCTAATTACTAATGACAGGACAAGGGGAAATGGCCTCAAGTTGCGTCAGGGTAAGTTTAGATTGGATATTCGGAGTAAGTTCTTTACTGAACGAGTTGTGAGGCACTGGAACAGGCTGCCCAGGGAGGTGGTGGAGTCCCCAATCCTGGAGGTGTTTAAAAAAAAAAGTAGATCTAGCACTTGAGGCTATGGTGTAGTGGTTAGGTATGCTGGGATGAAGGTTGGACTAGATGATCTTCAGAGGTCCCTTCCAACCCCTAACATTCTGTGATTCTGTGAATGTATTGGAGAAGGGAATGCTTAACAGTAACTGGGAGAAATTTGTCAGATAGTAAAGTGATTTAATTAAGGTGGACTGTAAAATAAATGAGACGTCGTCATATCAGAGAAAGGCAAACCTCTAATACCTAGCCAGGAGGCAATCCTTTGAAGTAGAGACCAACAAATAAACCAGCAAGCATTAGAAGAGCAACAGATTTTCATTTAAATTGAAAACTACATTTAATGCATGTGGCCAAGATGCAATTTTGTCCCCCCCTGCCTTTTGTTTTTTTTTTTTTTTCCAGAATAAACAAAGGTTAATAAAGTGATGCTAACTTCTTTAATTAGTTGATATTCTTTCTTATTATTTTGAGTTTTAGAAGCAGTAGTAACTTTCAAGACTAGGCTGGTTAAGTGATAGAGCTGAGAGCGTAACTGGTTTTTTTTTTTTTTT